AGGGTGTAATTCAAAAGGATTATGAACACTCCCTGTCGTCAAAGACTTACATGTCAGAATTTAGAAAGATAGCCCATTCTTCTTGCCATTGCTCCCAAACCCATTCCATGCACAGCGCTGAGCTCCGTAATTACGGCTGGTGGCTTTAAAAATAAATACTCCTCTAAACATTTGGCCACAACAGCGATGCAACTAAATTTCCTGTGGATCTAGGGCCAGGAAAGTGGATACTATGAGCCATTTTCTTATGTAATCCGTAAGTTTTATCCTCTCGTTAAGCTCCGCACGGATGTTCCCGCGGTGCTCAGCTCGGGAGGGCTGGAGGCAGCTCCGTTCCGAAGGCCGGTGGTGGCCTCTAGTGACAATCGGGTAGATCCGCACGGAGCCCGCTGCCTGTCCCTGCTCCTGCCGCTCCTCCGCGGTCCTGCGGCTGGGGAACAACTTCTGCTGGAAATTTCTGCTGCAGTATTTGTGCAGCGAACGTTATTAGCAGCGCCAGACTCCCTCCAGGGGAGTATGGAGACGGATTTTCGGCCTGTTTCCTTTATTTTGCTTTTTTGGTATCTGCTTTCCTGACACAGATCTTGATGCTGGGAGGGTATTTTGGTTGTAAGCAGCCGATAGCTTGTTCCTGGCTGTACAAACCCCGGGAGTGGGGATGCCGTGGGATCGCTGGGATGCACTGAAAGGATGATATTCCAGAGAAGTCCCCAAACAAGAAGCTGCAGCTGCCCAGGCACCTCCTGGCATTATGAGTGTAATTTTACCCTGGGGAAAAAAAATGAGTTTTTCTTCTGATTTGGGGGCTCCAGGTGTGACACAAGTGAGATCCCCAGAACCCCAAGATTTTTTTTTAGTAAGCAAAAAATCTACATGGATATGAACATGTGCAATACAGTGTGGTTGTATGTATCTTTTACAGTGTACAATCAGTGTGTACCTATTTGCACAGGGCCATGAAAATTGTATTTGCCTCCTGAATCACGGAAATACGCAATATTTTTCATGGATACTGAACTACTCCAGCATTATGGAACTGAGAGAGTCAGTAGGCTGGAATTCTCTCCCGTTCACTGGTTTTCTCATTCACTTGATACTTCAGTTGCCCGGGGTTTTTCCAAGGGAGAGAGCTCTGCCAGCCGTCCTGTGTTGGAGCTGATCTTAATGGCACTTTTGGGGAAGAAAAAAGAGAAGGTTCGTTTGTGTGGCCTGGAGCTGTTTTTGTTGGCACTGAGATCTGATTCTGTTCAAGAGAGCAGCTGAGACAGGAAAGGCAGCTCCTGACTTTCATTTTCCACCTGTGGCTGGGGAGGGGTGGAACCCACACACTGCCTCATGCACCACTCCAGGAGCTGGAACACCTCTCTAAGTACCATAAATATGTAATGTTTTAACTTACCCCTCTGGTCAAAGCTCCAAGCAGAAAGAAATAAGATGTAGTGGTTTGATGACTGAGATATTTTCATTGGACAAAAGATAAAACAGAGAGGGAAATGAGGGGGAAAAAATACGTGAGGCAGACAGTGTAAGATCTTGAACTGCAAATGTTCAGGGCCTAGGTGAATCCAGCTGAGTTGGTGACATCATCCAGAACTTTCTCTCCTCTGGTCCCATTCAACAAACCACGAAATACCTTGCTTTGCTCTTTGGAGAGAGCAGGCTTCACGGGCATTGGCATTAACAAGAGATGTAAAGGTAGTTAAGAACAGAAGGAGGGAATATCTCAGACCCAGAAATATTGAATACTGGAATAAGGCTGGAACACTGAAAATGGAATGCTTCTCTCCTGAATGCATTTTGCATAGCAATGTCCTTTCAGGACTGTAGCGTAGCTCTTTCAGAATTGAACTCTTAAGATATTAAACTCAAACACAGGGCTTGACAGGAACCAGCAAAAGGGTGTTGGATTTCACTCCTAGAATGGATCATCTCTACTGACTGAACTAGAAGACTTTGCTTTATTTCAGTCTCTATGTCAGCCAAAAGAAAAGCATCTGTTCCACCTAAAGGCAGCAAAAATGCAGACCCATAGCTGGGTGTGTCTTTTTCCTTGAACTCTCCAGACTGGTTGCCCATGGCTGGTTAGCACAGGTGAGTCAGATGGAATGGCGTCCACATTATCAGAGCCCTGCAGAACTTATCTCCATGGCCCTCTAATGCACATTAAACTTCTGTCACACAGGTGACATTTCTTCATTAAATCAAACAAATCATTAGTGTTGCTATAAATGTTTTATTACGTTTATAGGCAATCCACTCTGACCAAGCACAACACTGAAGGGAAGTGCTACCTGTGAACCCACAGATTGTCCTTTACAGCTCCCACAGATGAGTCTGGATCTGAAACTGCTCTGCTGAGCTAAGCACCAGCAAACTGTTACAGCACTTCTTCAATGCTGACCAAAACTGCAGTACTGGACAATGTATTTTTAGGCTGCCCAAGATCTAGTTAGATAACTTACTCTTACAACCAAAAAAATAAATAAATAAATAAAAATGAGGCAGCCCATGTTCTTGCAGATAATTCCTGGGCATAGTCCAGGAGTGGAGGACGCTGAGGCCACTCCCAGCTGACGCCTTGAGGAGCCCCGCACCCTCCAGCCCGGCTGGGGCCTCGTCCTCCTCTCACAGCCATGGCTGCAGCTGCAGGGCTCCCTCTGGCAGTTTCCACTAATTGATACAACCAGTCAAGATACGGCTCATGGAAAAAAGTGTACTGAACCAAAACCAGGAGCAAACCCAACCTCTGATGTTAATCTATCCTGATCCTAGCAAGTATTCTTGCAAATATTCTGGCTTTTTGGGGAGGATAGAAGCATATGCAAAATTATAAGACCAGAGAAATTGTCAGTAAACAGTTGAGGGATGAGAATATAAAGAACACTAAGAAAATTCAGCTTTGTATCTTTTCACATTGGGTTTGCATTATGCCATTGCTCCTTGCTTCCTCTTGCATACATCTTGGATGCTTCTGCTGAACAGTCCATAGGAAAATAATTGCTGGAGGTTCAGCTTGAAAAAAGCAGCAGAGCCATAACACAAGGCAAATGTCTGACCCAAGCCTGATGCTCACCTTCATTCAGATCACTGACTTCTTTTTTCATTTGCTCACACAATAAAAAGAAATAGAACCTCCAAGTTATGTTTAAAACAATATCACCCAGGTAACATGGAAACTAATTTTAATACTGAGAAGACAAAGCAGAATGTTTGCTCTTAAACAGATTGCCACACAATCCTGCAGAGATCTAGACAGTGAGATTGCCACACAATCCTGCAGAGATCTAGACAGTGAGAGCCAAGGGATGTAATACCAGCAGGATCTCTTCTGTACTCCTCTTACAGTCTAAAGGTGTAGAGTCTGCTCTACTAAAATGAGCAATTCTTACTGAGCCTGAATAATTTCAATGGACAAAAGACAACCCACCCTAAGTCTCTGTAGTGACACACCAAATGTCATGGCCACTGTACTTTGGTATCACATCTCATAAGGGTTTTTTTATTACAAGTTACACCCAAAGAAGTTCAAGGTCCAAAGACACTCCACAGCATCCTCTTGGAAAGAAAAATCCTGCCCTGCACACTGATTGCCTTGGTTTGGAAGCTGTGTTTCCAGAACAGCCAAGTACAAGAGTTTAACTCTGCCTCGAGTCAAGACCAGTTAGATTAATCCCTAGCACAGTAACTTTAAAAACTTGGCAGTACTGATTCCCTAATATATTGGGTATTCCCTAATACCAAACTATTCTGGTTTGGGTGCTCTCCAATACACGTTTCAATGCCTCCAAAGCTCTGTGTCTCACAATTTCCTTGCCCCAAGCTGGGAGATCAGTAGGTACAGCAGCTGCTCTCACTAACACAAGCCATGTGTGTTCATTGTTCTACCTGAAAACATCAGTAATACACATAAGCACTGTCAGTGCAATGCCCCAGGAGCTGCACCTCCTGCCACCCACTCTGCTGCACCACTAACAACCCCTCAGCAATCAGCTTCTTCCCTTGCTTTACAAATTCTCCATGCACGTTCTGTATCAAGGGTGCTCCACAGTCAGCTCAGGAGTGTCCTCCACACGATCAGCAGCAGGATGGTTGAGTCTCTTCATGCCATGGAAAGGCAGCTGGTTTCCTGTAAATGACCACAGCCCCTGGGCTGGGGACAGACCCCCCAGCATGGTACTTGTTAGCTGATGGTCTCTGATGAGGCAGGAGGGAAACTTGTTTTGCTTCAACTTCAGCCACACTGGAGAGCTGGAGGATCATTCTGCTGGAATCTGGAACTCAACACTTCCTGCCACGCTATGGACCGCAGCATCTCACATGTGAAACAGTGGGCTGTGAAGGCTTCCAATATTCTCATTCCTCCTACCTTACTTAAAGAAATATCCTTTCCACTCAATCTCAGCTGTATTGAAAGCTCAAATTCAACTTGCAATGGTTTTCTTATACCAGACAAATGTATATTCAATCCAAGCTGATGGCAACAGCCTCCACTCTTCACTGGCAGTGCAGATGTTGGTTTGTGCTCACTATGAAATGAAGTCACATGGTAGTACAGCTGCCTCCTTTATAATAATTTATACACTGTTCTAGAATGCCCTGAGGCCCAAGTTATTGCTTACTCAACAGAAATATAAATATTTTAAGTCTCTTGTCACATATAAGCAACTCTCATTTTAAATTCATGCACTGCACAGGGGGCTAAGAACCTACTCATTTGTTTCAAATGGCTACAGAGAGGGTTGGCTGCAGGTACATGGTTATAAATGATTCAACAGATCATTTTTTGTTTATCTGTTATACAAAATAACAAAGCAAGCAAAATACCCAGGGAGTGTTCCTCAAACACAGACGAACAGATGAGAACCCCTTCAAATTATGGGGAGGGGGGGCAATATCCTGTGTGCTCTTTGTACTGAGACCAGTGACACTCTGTGTCAACATAGGTGGGGTTTCTAGCCATTGTGCTTCCTCTTGGACCTGTATAAAGGTGCACAGTGCACACTCAGCTCCTCACTGCTGTCTCAATCTGTGCTGATTTACCTGCTTCAGTCCAGAAGACAAAGAGCACAAATGGCATTCTCCACCAACAGCACGCAGTGGAGTACGAGCAGCCGTGTCCAGCCCTCTGCACCCAGTGTCAGCAGTGTGACCTCCAGGAAAATGTCCATCCAGAAGATCCAGGCACCCAGTGTCTATGGGGGAGCTGGGGGCTATGGCACCCGCATATCAGCCAGCACCAGCCCTGGCCAAGGCCTCAGAGGAAGCCTCCAGCTCAGCATCACTGGGAGCGATGTGCTGCTCGCTGGCAACGAAAAATCAACGATGCAAAACCTGAACGATCGCTTGGCTGCGTACCTGGAGAGGGTGCGCTCACTGGAGAAGTCAAACTCCCTGATTGAGAGGCAGATCAGGGAATGGTATGAAAAGAACACCACAAGCATAGGGCAGGACTATAGCTCCTACTTCAAAACAATTGATGAACTCCGAAACAAGGTAAGAGATCATAAAGCCCTCCATAAATATAGGAATTGCAATTATCAGTGAAATAGAGAATAATCTGCTGCAGAAAATATACTTTTCCAAATTGGCCTAATTGGGAAGATGTTTATTTTTGATCAGCTACATATTAGTGACAGATTTTAGATAATTTGTAATACCTGTAATCATTCGTAATATGCCTGCAGTTGTGAGTAATCTCATACCTGAAAAATCTGTGACTCAAAATTAACTAGTTCTATGATATTTGCCTTAGGTGGCTTTAATTAGAAAAAGTACTAATGGCAATCTACATATTCAAATATATTTTAGCAACAGTCTATTTCAAAGTGGTTTATTAGAAAAGAAGGGCAAGCACTCAGAAAAAAATTTAAGACCACTGGAAACAATGAAATATTCCAAACTATCAACTGACAGGTTTGTCAAATCATGTTTCCAGAACTTCCTTCAGTCTTTTCCCTTTTATTTTTTATCAGTTCTACTTCCCAGCATTTAAGAACAGATACCTTCAGAGAACAGTTCATCCCAACTATTCAATACACATATTTTATAGCAGGACAATTTGTCTTTTGGACATCCCTAATTCCTTTCATGCACTTCAGATGGAACTTACCTTTAAGCCAGCTGACCAACAGACAGCTGAAGTGAAGGAGGATGAAGCCCACTTACAGTATTTATTCCCAGGAAAGGATCAAGTGTGAATTTCTGTGCGAAGTTTCATTGCTTATCCACCATTCCCTTTAGATTTCTGCTGCCCAGATGGAAAATTCCAGACTTGTCCTGCAGATCGACAATGCCAAGCTGGCTGCTGATGACTTTAGGCTGAAGTAAGTTCCATGATTTTATATCAATTCTCTTTCATGATCCTCTTATTTAGGAAAGCTTCCACTTATTGCAATCAGTGACAAGAAGTGAATATTTTCCAACTTTAAGTTTAATATAATTTCACAATGACTGTGGTTACTGATTCTAGAAGAGGTTACCGATTCTAACATTTACTCCAAACTGTTGCATTCCAATGATGACAAAAGGCACTGTATTGTACAGGTTTGAGAATGAACACCTGCTCAGGCAGAGTGTGGAGAGCGACATCACTGGACTGCTCCGTGTCCGTGACGATCTGACTCTGACCCAAGCTGACCTGGAGTCCCAGATTGAGAATATAACCGAGGAGCTTGTTTTCCTTAGGAAGAACCACGAGGAGGTGAGAGCAGCTGACCACTGCCAGGGAGAGGGGCTTTGAGTGGCAAACACAAGCAAGTTCACTAGGAAGCATTTCTATCCTTTCTGGAAGCAGCATTACCATGTGTGACCCGAAGGGAGATTCAAGCTATCAGGCATCAAAGGCTGAACACTCCTCCATTCCAGGAATGAAGGAGTAAAAGTTTTCTCTAAGAAAAAATTATGGTTCAGGAATTGCTACCCCAAAAAGTACACAAATGGGAACCGTGACTTCTGCCCTCATTCCACAGATTGGTTCTGAGGAAATCATTTTTATGATACATTTATCTATGGTATAACATTTATTGCTATCAAGTAAGTTAACTGTTCTGCGAGGTGCATTAAACAGTATTTACAAGGTGATTAAGTTGCCTTGCCCCAAGATACTATTAAGGATTAGTCCTATGTGCGTAGATGTTGAGTTTGTGTCCAATGCCCAGGAGCGAGAGCTCCCTGCAGCTGGTGCTAACACAGTCCCCATTGCTGCAGGACCGTGACAGGCTGCGCAGAGAGGCGAGCAGCTCTGTGAACGTGGCGGTGGATGCTGCTCCTGGCATTGATCTCGCAGCTGTTATGGAAAACATGAGAAAGCAATATGAAGAAATGGCAGAAAAGAACCGCCAAGAAGCCAAAGAACATTTTGAAAAGCAGGTAAAGTCCACTGCTTAAACACCAGCAGGAGCCTTGGTCATGCCTGGCTGCAGTTCACAGTCCCTCCATTCCTCATTCCAGACAGCAGAACTGAACCAGGAAGTTGCCCTCAATATTGAGCAGCTGGAGGTCCAAAGGAAAGAGATCACGGAACGGAGACAGGTCTTCCAGAACCTGGAGCTGGAATTACAGTCCCTGCTGACCATGGTAAATAACAAAAAGCAAGATAAGAACTGTAGATTGCAGAGAGTTACACAGAGGTGTAATAAATAGAGGATAAAAAGATAAATAGAGGAATCAATCAAAATGTTATTTACAATCAACATGAATAATATGTCTCTGAATAATATGTCACTGTTCTTCCCGTGCACTATAGAAACAGACCCTGGAAGGCACTCTGGCTGAAACAGAAGCACGGTACAGTTACCAGCTTGACCAGATACAGGGAGCAATTTCCAGTCTGGAGGCTCAGCTGAGGCAGCTCCGAGCTGACATGGAGGCTCAGAACAGTGAGTACAGCATCCTGCTGGATGTCAAGACTCGCTTGGAGATGGAGATCGCTACATACCGCCGGCTGCTGGAGGGAGAGGAAAGCGGGTGAGCACACACATGGCTTTGCGTGTTGGTTTGGGTGTTGTGTCAAATCTGCCTCTCTCCAACTGCTTTGCGGTGAGAAGTCCCATTGTCCAGTTCTCAGCCAGAATCAGAGCAGGCTGCCTTTCAGGCTGGGCTACTGAAGCTGCTGTGGAATTTTGAGGTGGCTCTACCAGCCTACAGATGGTCTCTCTATTAGCTGGGGAGTTGGGTAAGATGTTCACGTACCAGGAACACCAGTAATGCAGTTTTTGATCAATTTGTCTGTGTGGGTTAAGCAAAAAGTGGAACTTCCCCCAAGATTCTACCTGTTCAGCTGTTCTAGCTCAGGAACTAGATCAGGTGTACCTGCATGACCTGAAGTCCTGGCATTGCAGAGATGAGTCTGCAGTTTAACTGTACCTACAGCTTATGCTTAGCAAGTTTCACTTCAACTGAGAGAACTCATTTTACTGAGTTATCCTCTGATTCAATGTCTTGATGAAAGGGGATTAGCTGTCCTGATCAAACACATAGGAAATACACAAGGATGTTTCTTAAATACATGCGTTGCCATATATTTACATTTTCTCATTTACACTTTGAACAGGCATTTAGAAGAGATATCGTTGGCAGTAGATGCTGAAAAAGGTATGTCCCACCAACTTCTTTCTGTTTTGATGGCAGCCTGTTGAAATGTTATGGAATTAAGAAGCCTGATATAAAACAACAGCTTCAGAGCAAATAATCAGCCAGTGGAATCTCATATCAAGAAAGCAATCAACTGTATGGTTACCCTATAAGGTCTATACAACCCTGGTTTTATATATACAACTCAGTGTAAAATCACAGACTCCCCTTACCAATTCTGTCATTCTATGAGTCCTCAGAGAGCCAAGACAACAACAGAAAGCTACTGAATTCCCCTCTGGAGAACTGCAGAAGCATCTGCTTCTCCCTGCTAGCTGCACAGGAACACTGAGACTTCCAAGTAACATATCCAGTTTCATAGCCAAAATTTCCAATTTGGTGTAAGTCTATTCCAAGGTTTTAGGTCTACAAGTCTGTGATAAACTAAAGCAAAACTATCAAGAGCGCTAGAGAGTTATTGAACCCAGTATCCACTACAGTCTATGGGCAACATACTCAATATCCGAAAGAGGAGAAGCCACACCCCACACACTGCAAAACTTTACTTCAAGGACCTGTGGACTGAAGATGCTTTTTGACTTTTCCTCATCGACTGCTATACTGCAACAATATTGTCATGCACATTGCATTAAATTACTTCTCTTTTCAATTTCCTTAACAGAATCAAGTAAGTTTAAGAAGATCAAGACAATAGTGGAGGAGGTAGTTGATGGCAAGGTTGTCTCCTCTGAGGTCAGAGAGTTTGAAGAGAAGATGTAAATGGCACCACCAGAAAAGATGCCTCTGAGTTCCCTGGAACTGATGCCAAAACGAAAAGGTTTATAAAGAATCTGATCTAATTCACCCTAAACCCCAGACGGATTAAAAAATGCCAAAATCACAAATCTTTTGCTGATGTTGTTGTTTTTCTCGGGGAGCATTAATAAAAATCTGTAAGTCACAACATAGAAGACTTTAGTTTACTTATATAGTGACTGAGTACCCTGATGGAAAGAAATCAAATCAGCCTGCTATGAATGCATAATTGCTTCCAACTTAGATACAAATGGAACTATTAGGTTTTTAAGGCATGAGTTCAGCACACCTTTTCTGAATGTGAACTCCCATTCAAACATACAGCAGCTTCACTGCATTAAAACCTGATTTTCAAATAAATAAGAAGTGTCAATTTGCTTTTCATAATATATTAACATGAAAAAACAAATTGAAGAAGCCTATTTGATATTTTTCACATTCTGTGAATGATTATGTCACCAGAGACTACGGCAAGCCAAGATATTTTATGGATAAAAATATATTTGAAATTATCTCCCTCTCTCTCAAACCTTTCTGTGCCAGTAGTGTTCCCTGTCCCATAGGGAGGCCCCTGTGCCACACCTGGACTCTCAGTCCCAGAAGTTTACATTTTCCTCTTGAGAACATAAACACACAATTCTCAGTCCCAGGAGTTTACACTTTCCTCTTGAGAACATAAACACACAAAGTTCTTCCCTATGAAACCTCACCTGTCCAGAGCTATGTACTGTACATAAACAGCTGCCAAAGAACTAATCCTCTGCTTTCACTGCCCCGAGTCACTGAGACCAGGATATCAGCTCATTTCCACAGAAATGCTTTACTTACACCTTTGATCTTCCGCTCTTTTCTGCCCCAAAAGCACCCCATGCTCTTGAGTGCGGATAAATCAAAAATTAACACATTTCAGTTGACAAATCCAATGATATAATTAAGCCAGGACAAAGAAAAAACTATTTTCCATCTATCAAAATAACTTCAAAAGAAAAATATACTGGCTTGGGAGGGTTCCCATGCCCAAACTTGCACCCAGAAGTGCTACATTAGATCTTCAGATTTGTATTATAAAAAGCACCAAATACAGAAATCAGATTTCTTATTTTGAGATAACAGCAAATTATTTAGCAGACAGAATGGTCAGTTCTCAGCTCCAAAGTACAAACTCTTATATGCTATAGACTATATGCTATAGACTATAAGCATAACACTCTGATGTAATTCAGTGATGAAAGGGCTAGGGCATAAACCCAATTCCAAATCCTATCTGGTATATTTATGTTTTCATATAAATGATCACCCTGCAGCCCACTGAACATCCATGTGCCCTTGGATATCTGATGGTCACTTTTCCTACTTCCTATCAAGCATCCAGGAGCACTAATCCAGCAAAGGCTCCTGGCTGAAGAGGATTATGAAAAGAAAGACATTCCTGCCACACAGGCTGAGAAGCAGGGATCAAAGGGATCAGTCTGCTGACTTAGAAAACTCCTGTAAGAACAGCCCCAAATGCAGGAAGCACTGCATCTGCAATGACAAAACAATTATTTAGAAGGGATTTAAATGCAAAAAGAAGTGTTTGTGCTTCATTGCACATGGCAGAACACAGTCATGATGTCTCAGCTGCACTCCACCCATTGCCCCTCATACAAATACCTGGAGGGTACCAGATTTCCACTCCCATTGGCAATTTCAGTTGGCACATATCATTTCGGTTGGTCAGAACATACTAAACTGACATCCCCTCCAAACAGGAGGGAGAGAGAGAGTGAAAGCTCACCCCAGGAGGTGGGGACTCCTCCTGAAACACCCACTGCTGTCTCTATAAAGCTGACCCTGCTCCTGCTCTGCACTGCTCTCTGCTGTATCCTCCACAGGGCGGATCTGGGCACCTCGAGCACCATGGCCCTTTCCGTGCGCACAAGTGGCGGGCCCCGGCAATTCTCCTCTCGGAGCGGATTTGGAGGGGGATCTTTGAGGATCTCCAGTTCCAGTGGTGGAGGAGGCTTTGGTGGCAGTGGGCTTGGCTTTGGTGGGGGGTCTGGTGGAGGGTTTGGTGCAGCTTCTCTGTTGGGATCAAGCTCTGGCTTTGGTGGGGGCTTTGGAGGTGGTTTGGGTGGTAGCTATGGAAGTGGCTTAGGCAGTGGGTTTGGGGGAGGTTTGGGAAGTGGTTTTGGCAGCAGTTCAGGTGCAGCTTTTGGAAGTGGCTTTGGTGGTGGCTTAGGGACTGGTTTTGGAGGTGGGTTCAGCCCTGCTGGTGCTGGTGATGGCGGCATTCTTTCTGGCTCAAAAAAAGAGACTATGCAGAACCTCAATGACCGTCTGGCTGCATATCTGGACAAAGTGAGATCTCTGGAGGATGCCAACACCGAGTTGGAGCGCAAAATCCGTGAATGGTATGAGAAAAATGGCCCTGGCACTGGCACCCCTGGATCTGGGAATGACTACAGTAAATTCTACCCCCTCATTGAAGATCTTCGAAACAAGGTAGCAAAGCAATGCATTTGACGTATCTTTATATTTGTAACTCACTTAATAGTATTAATGCAAACAACATAAATTTCTTTTAGCAAACAAGAGCACATTTATCCTTTGGTACTGATGCTTGCAGTGACCTCTGTTATCTTGCACTGGTGACATGTGGTGAATTTTTCCTGTACATTACAAGCAGTTCTGTAGCTGTGTCACAAAGTGATTTGTCTAATATGAATAAAGGAGAAGGCACTGATGGAATGCAGTTCTACATACCCTTGTAGAATACAAAGTTTAAAGCCATTACAAAACCATGAAGCCTTTGGGCTGTAACAACAGTTTCTGAACACTGTTTGTATTCTAGATCATCAATGCAACCATCGACAACGCGAGGATTATTCTGCAGGTCGATAATGCCAGACTGGCTGCTGATGACTTCAGAGTGAAGTAAGGACTTCTTAATGCTATAAAAACTCCTTAAGGAAAAAATTCTTTTGTACTAAAAATCTCTTTCCTTGTAGAATACTTTTAGTATAATTATTAAACAGTATTACAATAATTATGTGTATTAAGTTTTCAAATTAAAGCTAAAATAAAACACATTAATAGTTTCCATTTGACCTCATGGGCCATGGAAAAAGTAACATTTAATCCCTTTATGCATAGATATGAGAATGAAGTGGCTCTTCGGCAGAGTGTGGAGGCTGACATCAATGGTCTGCGCAGAGTCCTGGATGAGCTGACCATGACCAGGGCAGATCTGGAGATGCAGATTGAAAGCCTGAATGAAGAACTGGCTTATCTTAAGAAGAATCATGAAGAGGTAATTTTTTTCCTTTGTGAATTCATAACAAGACACATGAAATTGTTAAACATCAAATTACCCCTTACTTAAGCCAGTGGGAGTTCCTGGGTTTCATTATAGGTTTTGTTTGCTGTTATTTTTTGAGTTTGCTAAGTGACAAACAATCTACAGATCCTTGTTGAAACAGAATTTATATCACGTATATTTCTTTACATATATTTTGGTATAATTATTTTGTCTTTTATTAACAGAACCTTCTCTTTATTTTCAATCCCTCCAGGAGCTTCAGGGCATCCAAAGCAGTGAACTTGGCCAAGTCAGTGTGGAAATGGATGCTGCTCCAGGGACTGACCTGACCAAGCTTCTGAATGATATGAGGGGACAGTATGAAGTCATTGCCGATCAAAACCGTAAAGAGGCCGAGGCGTGGTTCAATGAAAAAGTAACAACCAGAGAGAGCAAACTCAGCAAAATGCATGGGAAAATGAGTTCAATACTTGGAACAGTAAAATTACATCCCATTCTTCCTTGTCGTTTCAGAGCGGAGAGCTGAAAAGGGAAATTTCCACCCATACTGAGCAGCTCCAGTCAGGAAAGAGCGAGATCACAGATTTAAAAAGGACTCTCCAGAGCTTGGAAATAGAGCTGCAGTCTCAGCTCGCCATGGTACGTTCTGGGAAGCTGCTGACTGCTCAGAGCCAATTCAGTAATTCAAAAGTCTTTTTAGACGTAATCCTATTCCATAGAATTGAGGATTTGCATTTCTTTCCACTTAAATTTTAGTTCCCAAACAGCAGTAATATATCTAACTGGATTTCAAAGAGCATGTCACAAAGCAGATCAGTTTTTACATCACATTTAGGGAAGTGACAAGGGACAATTTTCAAACCAGTGTTTTCAAAAAGAAAATAAAACCTTCTGAGTAATGCAGCTGTGCTCACTCCCTTAAGCTACTTCAGCTGGTTTTGCAAAGAGGTTTTTTTTTCCTTAACCAGAGATTATTTAATATCCTTTCACAGAAAAAATCCCTGGAAGACACTTTAGCAGAAACGGAAGGTGGTTACTGCGCTCAGCTGTCACAAATCCAAATGCAGATCGGGAACCTGGAGTCCCAGCTTTTCCAGGTCAGGGCTGACATGGAGCGCCAGAACGCGGAGTACCAACAGCTCCTAGACATCAAGACTCGTCTGGAAATGGAGATTGAAACCTACCGGCGCCTGCTGGATGGCGAGTTTGTGTAAGGAACTGGCTGACACAAAATATCTCCTTGGGTTTATTTTCTGTACCAAAATCCTTTCCAGGAAAAAAAGAGGTAAAATAAGTGGAACATTCTCCAAGCGACAGTAAGGCACATACAGTGATCTGAAATATCACTGCGACTGAGGAGAGTGAGCCATTCTGCTCACTATTTAAACAACCTATCAATGTCACCATGATCCTATCAGACATCCTGAAACAGTGCATGTCTCTGATTCCCTTTTAGAAGTGCTGGACAGGCAGCTACATTTGAAAGTTCATCCCTGACAGGGTCCAAATCTCAAACACAATCACTGGACTCTTCTCAAGGTAGGTAGAACTTGATTGAATAAAGCTTTGTTTCTAAAGTCATTCTTACAAATAAAATAATACCTGTTATCCTGTTTAACTACATTATAGAGTTCATTAAAATCAGAAGCCAATTGGAAAGGAAAAGGGAGTACCTGATCATGTGCTGCTTTGGTTTATCATTTTTAACACACTGATAAATATTTTTTGTTTTGTTCATGATGTCTAGATCCAACCAAAACTAGAAAGATCAAGACAATTGTTGAAGAAGTGGTAGATGGAAAAGTTGTTGCATCCCACGTTAAGGAAGTTGAAGAGAAGATATGAGG